GTTTACTTATTTGGACTTTCTTCTCTTTACTCATTTCCCTCTCCTTTTTTCACTATGGTCTGTACTTCAGTGATTGCCTTTCCATGGATGATCCTGGGATCCTGTGTCCCCCTAATGCTGTCCTCTAAACAGTCGCCAACAGATGAGCACCTAGTGCTCTCACCCTCAGCTCATCTGGGAAGGATAAACGTTCAGCTTACATTGGGAATAGGCACCTTTTTACCCACAGTGCTCAGCAAATTACTCAATTGCTTTGATTACATTTTGCTTCATTCGTTTTTAATACTGAAGCCAGAGGCCTACAAATAGCCTTTTATACTGTTTCTAGATAGATATGTGTTTGGATAAAGTGGGTAGATAACTGGAGTGCGCAATTACTGCCGTTGCAATTTGTCTTTGTTATTTCCATTATCATTATGAAAAGTATTTATTCTGCACCTGTGATACTGTCATCTGGATTTGAGTTAAGCCTTCAGCAAATCAAGAGAGATATCCCCAGAACATTACCTCCCCTTGATTCCAGTCCACAGATTACAAGGAGCAGACAAATGGGCAAAGCAAATGATGAACACAACACTAAATAAATAGTCTTTATTCATGTACTAAATAAACTGTGGGAAAAAATATATGCCTATAGGTAGTAAAGCCTCCCCTTATTAACTTCCCCTGATTAAGGATGGAGTTCTAAGAACAACACACCTAAGAAAAGAATTTGGAAAACTAACTGTTAGTGACTTTTCCCTGTGAAGAAAAGTCCCTAGTAGTCCCTGGTGGCCAGCTTAAAGGGATCAGAAGTCCCTCAGCCAACCTTTTGTAGAATTACATCATGTACCCATATGTTGAATCCAAATCAAGTCAAAGAGAGTGGAGATGCATTTAATTTTTGAGGACACTAAGCTGTCAGAAGGACTAATGCCAAAAAAAGTGAGAAGTGACATATTTGAAATCTATAAATTGCATTACATGTTCATTTGTACCTTTAGGAAAAGCAAATAAAGTGTCTTCCTTCTCTCAAAGTGGATAAATGAATGGTTGCTTAGAGTTGGGTGGCAGAGAGCCTCTGTCGCCATCATCGACTTTCTATAGATAGCAATTCATCTGCAGGTGCAATCAGAGCAGTGTCCGTGTGCACACCCTGCAAGGCATAGGTGAACTGGTTCTGATCACTCATGGGCTGACCTGGACAGAGAATAATTAACTCTTCTGTTGAAGACAGACTCTTCCCCTTGTTTCTACCCTCCTTGTCTCCCACTGGAACAGCAGGGATTTATTTAAGAGGACTCAGACTCCCAGTATCACAGGGATGAAGAGGGGTTCACCTATTCACTCATTCATTTGTGTCCACTTACAAACGATATGGACCTCTCCTACAGACCACGCTCTATGCTAGGCAAAAAGAAAAAAAAAAGGACCCCTCTTTTTAGAGAGCTCACTTCAGGATCTGTACCAAGTTTGGAGTCATGCCTTTTGCAAAATTCTCCTAAAATTCTGTTATGCAGATCATCATTCCAGAATGCAGAGGATTCAACACAACAAAACACCATTTATTCAAAGTCACATGAAGAGCCAGAAGGCAGTAGAGAGCCCAGGGTACACCAGCAGACAGTGATCATTGGACCCGTTTAAGGAGTGAAGTCCATTCATTGTCAGGAGTGTTTCCAGACTGGAGGTTGCCATTTCAATATTTCTCAGTGGACTACCTTCTTGAGGAGATGGACCATATTTATTTATAAATGACATCATTTATGTCTATAGATTGGATTACATGTATTATTTACATTGTCTCTTTCAAATAGACGAAACGTTTTCTATTTATATTTTGCTTAAATACTTTATTTACATATTAACTTATTTATTTTTAGTAACCTACAAAAGAACAGAATAAACCTCAACCCACTTGAAATAAAATGACTACAGAAGTTTACTTTGAAGACTTATTCAGTTAACTATAATTTATTAAATAGTTTCTATGGTTCAACCAGTTGAAATGTAATTATGTACCAGTTGTAACATAATTATGCTGAAGGTTGTGATTAAATGATACATTGTATGCAGTGGTGTGTATTAATCTGTGCATGCATTTGTGTGTTTATCATTCAGTCGGACTTGGATATAAGCAAAATCATTAAAAAATAGAGTAAAAAGCTCAATCTATGATAATGTATCTAGATGTGGATAAAGCAGAAGGAAGCATAAACATTGTTTAATGTGTCGAAGGGATAAGGTCACGAGCAGTTTAATTTCCTTTTATTTTCGATTCTGCTGCTGATCTTACAAAATTGTTTGTGCAATAAAAATTGGCTAAACAAAAATGGATCCAGATTGACCTGTTTGTTTTGAGCGAATCTGAGCAGAAGTTTGAAAGAAGAACCAGTGGAAGGTTTGTGTAATAAAGACAGACTTATAAATCTTACAGGGGGGATTTCCTAGCATTCTCCATTATTTCTAAAATGCCAAACTCCGAAATAGAGGGTTTCAGGTGAGGACAGTATAGAGGAGGTGAGAGTTTAGTCAACAGAATTTTACTACTTAGAAAAAAATAGCCAGAGAAGTCAGGAGTTTCATTTTTTCAGTCTTAAGCAGCCATGTGTCTGAAAAATATTTGCATTATTTTGCCTCCCACCCTTATACAACGTTACCTGGATGCAGAATTATCTTATACAGTATCGTGACTTAGAACATAAATGAGTGGCAAAAATATTTCAAATAAATGACAAATAAAAAAATGCATGACTTGAGGATATTCTGTCGGAGTAGCATTTGTGGTTTCCTGAAATGGTCTTCCAGGAGAGGCAGGCACCCCAGGACAGAGAGGAAAGCTTATTCTGGTTAACAGGGAGCTAGAGTATGAGAGGCGTTGGGACATCAGCTTGCCTGAGACAGCAGATGCTCTAAAATTGGGCCTCTTCGTATTATTATGGAAATTACTTTTGGCAGCAGTGCGGAAAGGTTGTTGTATAGTATTGTTAATTGCAGTTGGAGACACAAAGCAATAAGATCATTCGATGACTTATTTGTTATTTGGGAAACGATAGCTTTTAGGTGCCAGTACATATGAAATCACCTGGAAATATTCTTGTGAATTCAGGAGCCATCTGAACATCCTTGTCTAATACATAGAAGAGATTTTAATGAAGCCCTGAGTCTGTATTTAGCAGATTACCGGATGGCTCCGTGTCAGCCATCCAAGGAGGGGACTGTCTGCTTGGTGAATGAGAGGCAAGAAAACTATGACTGTGTCAGAATTTATGGCTGGGGACGGTGGCTTCACCGGACATGGGGTGAGAAAGCAGTTAGTCTCCCCACTTTGTGTGTGCTTTCCCTCTTGTCCCAAGTGCAGCCGGCAGCCACAGCACTCTCCTCCCTGGACCTCATCTCTTCTCCCCTCTTCACAGAGAGTTGAAAGAACAGCAAGGAGCCTTAAATTCACCCTGGATAACATAAACTCTGTTCAGGCTGAATGGGTCTTGCCTGCCATCCTCCCGTGCCGTTCACAGTGACGGGGCACTGCTTTTGAAGATGACACTAACTGTCCCAAGTTTTTAGCATGATTGCCTCCAAATGCTTGTAAAATCTCTGTGGGTTTGCCTGGCACTTGACTCTTCCATGGCCTGGCTCTGTTTTATTTTTCCTTTCTCTCTCTCACCCTCCTTTCCCTAGAACTGCTGCGTCCTCAGGTGGTAATCTTTAAAAACCCCAGGCTGGACTTATTTCTCACCATAAAGCCACACATTAAGCATATCTTTCATGCTTCTCCGAACCAAACTCAGAAAGTGCCAATTAATAAGTTGATGGGGAAGAAGTCAGTGGGTAGCATTAAAGCCACCTGTCTGGAGGCATTAGGTGCGCACTTTGAGTGAAGGGAGACCTGCAGAGAGTCAGGAATGAGGTACTTTATCACACAATCCTAGAGGCATAAAATGAGAGAATAAAAATCAGTGTTCAGGGCAGCTTCTCCACCGTGTTCCTATTGTGGCTTGTTCGTTATTGCTCTGACCATGATGAACCAGCCCAGTGAGGGAGCGCCCAGCATCCTCAGCTGTGAAATTTTACACATGTAGAGCATATTCTCTGGTGGACAGGCAAAAGAAGGGGGAGGATCCCAGCTGCTCTTTCCATGGAACTGCCATTCATACTGGCTGTCACTGTTCTCAGCATCTTTCTAGGTCCGCATGACTACTCTGAAAACTCTTTCTGTTCATTCATCCATTTGACAGGTATTTACCGAGTATATATTCGATGCTGGGCCTTAGCTTCTGGGAATATACCTGTGGGGGAGAAAAGTAAATAAATATCAACTATCTCTATTCTCATAGAATTTATGTTCTAGTGAAGGGTATGTAGAGAAAATAAGTAAGTAAATTATACAGTGCATTAGAAGGGGATAAAGTGGCGTTTGTACAGTTTGCAGAGAAGGCTTAAGAAAGCCCAGCCTTTGACACTAGACTAAAAAAATCAAGCTCAAGGTAGAATGGCAGGGGATATTGTTGACATCGGCAAAAGGGCTATGGTCAGTGAGAAAATCCCAAGAAATCCATCCTCTTTCCATTTCTTTCCACCTTACCCACAACGGACATCACAAGTCTTGCTCTTTAATCCCCCTCACCTCACCCCCCCCCCAAATGTAAAGTCAACAAGGCAGAGTGGGAAGGAAGGTTGAGGCCAGGAGAACAGTGGAAGATATTTCAGATGAAGGACATAAAGTTAGAGGAAAAAAGAAAAACCAGGAGTACTCTAGAAGAAAAGGAAATTCAGCCTTCAGTTTCTTGTCCCTTCCTTCCGACTTGTCCTGCCGCCTTCATTACTTAGCAAAAGTCCTTTTATGGCCTTGGGTCAAAGCAGGAGAACAACCCTGACACACTCAAGGGTTCTGCTTGGCCAGGTGTTCCTTGTGTGCCCCCCTTTTCCCCCCATGTCAAAATTGTAGCTCATTTTTAGGATTTGGAAATGTGTAAATGTAACTTCCATTGTTGTTTTTCCCCAACACTTTTTTGCTGCAGATTATGTTACTCACGGACCCTGAGATCGAGAGCAGTCTATTGATCAGCTCAGATGAAGGAGCGACCTATCAGAAGTACCGGCTGAATTTCTATATCCAGAGCCTGCTTTTCCACCCCAAGCAGGAGGACTGGATTCTGGCATACAGTCAAGACCAAAAGGTGAGCACAAGTACCGTGTTCGAGACAATGGTGCCCCGTTCTCCTGGGGGGATCTGCCGTCAATCATCTCTGTGTTTCTTCTTCATGATCAGCTTTGTCCTGTGCTGTAGCCTGAACTGGGTGCCAGGGGGTAAGAGGCAGCAAGGAGGACCTCACGTTGCTGTCTTGAGCCGCATGTTAACATCTGACACACCACCCAAAGGAAAAGCTAGAGACTGAGGAATTCCCTGTGGAGACGCAGGGGTTTGTTTGTTTGGGTTTTATTATTACAGTTTATTTCTCTATTTTTGACATTTTTTATTGTTGTTCAAGTACAGTTGTCTCCATTTCCTCCTACAACTTCCCCCACCCAGCCATCCCCACTCCCTACCCTTTATCCCACTCCCCCTTTGGTTTTCTCCATGTGTCCTTTACAGATGTTCCTGAAAACCCTTCCCCTTTTACCCTCCATTATTCCCTCCCACCTTCCCTCTGGTTACTGTGAGTTTGTTTATTTCAATGGTCATATTTTGCTTGCTTATTTGTTTTGTTGATTATGTTCCACTTATAGGTGAGATCATATGGTATTTGTCTTTCACTGCCTGGCTTATTTCACTTAGCATAATGCTCCCCAGTTCCATCCATGCTGTCACAAAGGGTAGGAGCTTTTTTCTTTCTGCCGTGTAGTATTCCGATCCGTAAATGTACCATAGTTTTTGATCTATTCATTTACTAATGGGAACTAGGTTGCTCCCATCACTTGGCTATTATACATTGGGCTGCCATGAACATGGGGGTGCATAGGTTCTTTTGAACTGGTGTTTCAGGGTTTTTAGGGTGTAATCCCACAAGGGAAGTGGTTTTTAACATAGATGTTTGGGGGCATTAGAAGCCCCCATCCCCATGAGATTCAAGACAGTGTTTTTTGTAGATGGAGAGGTGATCATTTTTCTAGATAAAGAACCAGATTAGCTTTTCTAAGACTATTAAAAGGAAGGATGACCTAAAAAGTTAAAAACACTAACTAGGAGTTTTCTAAAACAGTGAAAGAAATGGCCAGAGGCACAATGATAATGTACACCGATAACATTAGTTAGAACCAGGTTATGTCAGGACTTTTCTTCTCTCACTGGTTGGATTGAAAGAGAGCCCTACTCTTTTTAAAAATTTTTATTTATTTATGTTTAGAGAGAGGAGAAGATAAGGAGAGAGAAGGGGAGAGAAGAATTAACATGTGAGAGAAATATTGATTGGTTGCCTCTCACATGCCCCCAAATGGGGACCTGACCCACAGCCCAGGCATGTACCTTGATTGGATATCAAACTGATGACCTTTCAGTTCACAGGCAGCACTCAATCCACTGAGCCACACCAGCCAGGGCAGGAGTGCTATTTATTAAAGAAAGCATTGAATGAGCTTTTGATATTCAGGGTCTCTGCTTGTGTGTGTGTGTGTGATATGTGTGTATATATATGCTGTGGGATACATACTATAAATTATATCATGTATTCTGTGCTGCAGATACACTATAAATTACATATAACTCATGCTTTTAAGGAACTTACATTCCCAGGTAGAATATAAGACTACCAATAGAAAATATAATTTAATTAAAATTAAAGTAACTATATACACACACACACACATGCACACATGAACACACATATATGCAAATGTGAGATAGACTCTAGCTATGGAAGCCAAAAGGAAAAAAAACGAGATATTGGAATGCTGTTTGTGAAATGCATGATTCAGTAAAACCATTCTTATAATTCTCCTTAGTGGACTCGTGTATTAGAAATTGTACATATTTGAAGACATCCTGGACTTATCCAAGCGAGGGGGATATTCTAGTGTTTTATCTAGACATGGTAGAGATGTGTGGGGTTCTCCCTGGAGGGAGTACAGAGGTGAAGGCAACTTTCCAAGGTCTCTACTGCCACAAGCAGTTGAAGGAAGCAAATTAAAATACTTAGGATTGGAGTTTTATTCATGCTGCCTTTACTGCCAAATAAAAGGCACATTAAGTCCAAAAATAGAAAAGATTTACAATTATTTTTTTTCTATGAGCAGCCTGGCTACCCTTTCAGCAGAATATATAATTCTATTCCTGGAGTCAAGCCACAGTACATCTGGTCCAGGATGGGGCAGTTGCTACAGGCGAGGCTGAGAAACTCAAGACAGAATATTAGTCATTTAATCTTCTAGGTTGTTGTATTTTATTTGACAGTTGGTTAATTTGCCCACTATGCTAGAGGCACAGTAAAGGCCAGATTTACCTGGCTAAGTGCACTTTGTGAATCTTTGCAATTGTGCTGGAGGAGATGCCCCCAAATGAAACCCTTTGTGTCCCAGCACTTTAAATGGTACCTCCCATGATCACTGTGGCAGAGTGGGTGGCCCTGGAAGAGGTGGGACCTCTGGGCTGTGGCCCCAACTCAGCCACTTACAGTGAGCAGTACTTAGTGTTGGCTTCCTTTGCTGTAAAATGGGTTCATTGTGGCAATTATAATTGCAGTGCACTTTCTAAAACACTGCAAAAAAATTCACTCCACACCCATTTGAGGTGCTCTGCATGGTGTAGTGCTGATGTAATATCACTATAGCTAGGAAGCACTTAATCTATCTGGAGAGAGAAGATTAAAAACATATGAGTTCACCAGTAGTCTAAGAGGCCAAAAACACAGTGTCCTTGTTCACATATAATAGATTCCCAATCAATACAGCTGCATCAATTACATAAAATTGGCAGCCCAAAGTTCAGGAGATGATGATCTTATGAAATTATTTCACCTGGACCTTAGTGAATATGTCATATTTCTTTGAGGGGAACACATTTACACAAGAGGGATGCCATAAGTAATAACACAGTCAGAAAAATCATGTTTACCGGATGTGAATTTGTCTCTGACCAAAAACAAAATTTTGTAATGCTAATTACATACTTATGGAACAGAATCTTGATTACTTTTGACTCTCTTGACTTTTTTTGGTTGTTAGGCAAAATCATTTTTTTCTAATTAGTTACCTTTTGAAAATTTTGGCCGGTGGAATGATATATTTGGAGCTATAGATTACAAAAATTAATCTGGTAGAAATATAATGATGAAGTGTGGCGATATAAGGTTAAAAGTAAGAAGACCAGTTAGGATGATATGACGGTTGTCCTGTTCTGAACCAAAATGTATCTTGCGTGACCAGAGACCAAATGAATTCTGTCATTTAGGAGCTGGATGAAGCCTTAACCGTCTTTGCTCTGTAGAAGTTCATGAATCTTCCCAAAGAGAAAAATACACCCATTGGGATCACGTTAAAGTTCAGTGAATGGAATAAAGCCTTACATGAATTTGGTAGGGTTCTCAGTCTTGAGGGTGCTGTCTTGAGATGAGCAGATGGGCAGGTTTCTGCTAACCACTCTGTTTCTCCAAGGAGAGAACAAAGGCAACATTAGGCTGAAAGAAAAAGTATGGATTACCTGCTGATATGAGTAGGGGCTGGAGAAGAATTCCATATCACAGGGCTGGAATCACAGAATGAGGAGTGGGGCTGCAGCCTTCACACAAGCTGTTAGCTAATGGGGTTGGCTGGAAGTCAAGTTGAGAGGGTCTGTGACCACTCAGGTGGATTGGTGATATGGAAATAATAGCTGGCAATTACCCATGAATCATGGAGCTTTTAACACTAATGAGATACTGCTACCCAGCACCAAAAAGGTCTCCGCACTGGTGCTGGCAGACCAATGACTATATTTGCCCAAGAAAAGGTACATTTATTCTTTCATATAACTATCGCTCATCAGTTTTTCTGTGATAGCTGCTGTTTCTGCTGCTGCAAAACTTCCAGCTATGAGCTTAGCCTCGGTGCTAATTGGCTCTTCTGGATGCTGTTGGACACCAACCTATGGTGAACAGAATTTTCAGACGAAAGGTGCTGTCTCTTAGAAAGTACTGTGTTTAGGTGGCAACTCCTTCAGATCTTACCTGTGAACAGAATCCTGCTCTCTTCTCTTCCCTTGTGTGCGGTCCTTGGTGTCTTTGCAGGCATACTCTCTCCATTTTGAATGCACAGCCACGTTCATTTCCCCCTTATTTTCCTGCCATTGTTATTCTCTTCTTCAGTGAATGGGACCTATAAGGCCCCAAAGACAGAGCCTGGATCTCTGGCTTCTGGGTTGGACCCCTTATGGAAGGCAGTGTTCTGCTCCGGTTGCGTTTCATTTTGAATGTCTGAACACCCTGTGGAGCCTTTTTGATGTGAGTGTTTTAAGATACTCAAAGAGTTTAGTTGAGTAGATTATCCTTTCTGGCCCAAGATTTGCTGGCCATCACTTCTGTAGGTAACCAGGTTTTTCATTTTTGTTTTGTTTTTTTATTTAAAGCTTTTTATCAGGGAGAAATATGCATGACTAAATGTCCTCAAAATCTATAAAATCAGGACATTTTGATAGTGTAGTCTTTTTCCTTAGAGAAAGAATCCTCTCTGTGGTATTCAGTGTCTAGGATGTTGCCAAGAGGTAAACATTGTCTTGAATTGGCACGTGGCTCTCCAGGCCTTTGTTCCCTTCGAAGTTCTTGAAGCAGTGGCCTGACCGCCTAGGACGCCCAGTTGGGGACTTAGTGTAGAAATAGGAGCTGGATTCTTTGGCCCCTGAAGGTTCTATGTGAGGCTGTGCCTTTGGAAAGCCCTGGAATCTCCAGAAAAATAAATAATACAGACATAATGGAAAGTGTATATTCAATGGGAAGAGGGGTGATGGTCACATAAAGTCACACCATTTATATTTCTTACAAAGAAAGAAGGGAGGAAGGAAAGGAGGGAGGGAGGGAAGAAAACTAGTCACTACGGACACTGTGAAGAATTCCATGGCATACACTTATTATAGGGGCACCAAAACCTTGTTTTCCTTTATTTATTTATGTCCTTTTTCATGTCTGCACTTCAGCAGTAGACAAAGCAAACATTTGGCTTGTTCTTTTGGCTTCTTGGCGCGAGTAGGAGGAGGGAGGTACAGTTCTTCACC